TGGCTTGACAGAACCACAGGAGTAAGTGAGACAGTAGAAGATGGGGGTGGGGCACACTGTACAAGATAGATGCTGTTCTCCAGAGCCCTTCAGGATACTTCTCCAGGAAGTTGATCAGTTCTAATTCCCTAAATCTCACAACCTAGCAGTGTTGAAAAAGTTCAAGCAGTCTGTCTGGGAAGGTTTGGATGAATAATATCAATTTCAATGAGGAGGTAGGGGCCTGAGACCAATATGTGAAGAATATTTAAGGGATAGAGTAAGAGGCCAGGAGCTTGGAAAGAAGCTAGCACAGACACCAGGAAAGTGCAGGTGATGGAAGTTCAAGAGAGAGTCTATTGTCTTCAAGGGGAGGGAGTGGATTTCCTAGAGGTCCTTATGTGGAAGGGGCTTTCTGTCAACCAAGCAGAACCAAGAGGGCACTAGGCAAGGTCATCTAGCCTGGGAACTCAAGCTAAGCTCAGCTGAGGTCCAGAGCCTACTTATCGTTTGAGCACACATTAAAGTTGTGGGATAACACTGGGAGGAATTCTGGAAATTGGGGAATTGGTGCAGGTGGCAGAAGGCCTGCCAAAAGCAGGAAGATGCCCATACAGGGAAGCACAGGGCCAGACTGCCAGGGAACAAGGATAATGGAAGCTTCTCAGTTTATCATAGCCTTGCCAGCTCATGTCTCTAGGCCCCCAGGGACAGGGGACCTCAAAAAGTGGCCTAAAGGCCAGGTCAACTAACTTGTCCTTCCTCATGCTGATCTGTCCCTGTATAGTATAAAACTGATTGCTTTGCTTCTAGGTCTTCTGACATGGGTACACATGCATCTGGAAATGTGTGCTCCCTACTTACCTGGGGCTGTGGAAAAAAAACAAGGACAGATTGCTCAGCAGAGCTATGGTCTGTGCCTGAGTCACAGAGGAACAGGGCCTGGTAAATGGAAGCTCTGTAACTCCACAGTTTTGAGTGCCATGGCTGGAGTGGGCAGTATAGTACCTTTCTGCTAGGGACCCAGGGCCATAAGAAAGCTGGACTCTCTAAAATCCTCTGGTTCTATGCATTACTGTCCCCAGGGACAGGGCTACACTTTCTGGAGAGCCTACCCTGCTCCACCCCATCCAGAATCCTCTGTCCCTGGCTGTCATTTTGAGTCCTATCCCTATCTCCTCAAGAGACTTCCACTTTGGAATTTTGGATGCCCCACCCCCACAATTTTCCCTATGGAAGTCCAGGATTGACCAGCAGGCAGATGAAGAAGCAAGAACAGAAACATAGAAGGAAGTTGTCTCATCATCTCTGGACACTGGAATCATGGCTGCCCTACCTTTTTTGTCTTTCTTCTCCTCCTCCTCTCCACCAGCTCCAAGCAATGTAAAGATGATGCCTGTCTGGGAGTTCACACCAACAGCTGTTACCACCATTCTTCCAGAACCTTCCATGACATGAGTGCCTGGCATAGAAACACAGAGGAACTAAGACAGATTTGCACAGCCTGGTAGGACATACTCAAAACCCATAGGCTGGCTCTCAGAGTTTCCCTGAGGCAGGTATTTGTGCCACTGAAGTCACTGCAGCTGTTGGCCCCTATATCTGGACTGCACCTGTTTCCAGGCTTGCTGTTGTGGGAATGACCCAGAGGACCATAGACTGGTAGGTCTTTGTTGTAAGTGTAGAGTGAGTCACTCACATAGCCCACCTGGGGGCCTCTGGTCCTTCCTGTCCAGTTTCATATTACATTTCCCATTAAAGTAAAAGTGGGCTGAATGAGAACCTCCTAAAAAAGGAACAAAGCACACATGGAGTCATCTGGAGGGAGCACAATAACGATCCCAGAAAGCCCTCCTCTTGGGATGTCCCATCCACGATATCAAAGGCCCTCTTAGCAGAGAAGGCCCATTTCTTTGTCCTGTGGCTGGAGCCACACCACCAGGCCTTCAGTGACCTGTTCTGGTGTGGGTAGAATTCTCAGACTCCTCAACAAGAAGGGCTATTTAGGGAGACCCTAGTTAAGGCAAGTCCAGCAGGATGGCTTGGCTGGGGATGCTGAGCTAGGCTCTCAAGGTTACCTTACATTGGGTTGGTTGAGAAGGTGATCCTTACCTGAGAGCAGCATAGGATCTTTGTCTGCTGATTTCCGCACATGGTCCGACTCGCCAGTCAGGGAGCTCTCGTCAATCTTGAGGTCATTGCCTTGGATGAGCACACCATCGGCAGGCAGAAGGTCTCCTATAGGCCATCTCCAGTCAAAATTGGAGGCTATGGGTCCATGGAAACTCCCCACCCTGACTTACTCCCTCCTTTCCCAGAGGAGGTCCTGTTTTTCAGCTTCTTCCTTTGAGGGAGATCATCCACATCTAACCATGCTGTCCAACTCTCAAGGAACAGGGATGGCACTTGTATCTTATAGTAGTAGGAGGCTAAGGCCACCCTGCTTCCTGTGGGCACTGTTGTGTCTCAAACTCCTTTTCTGCCTCTAATCACACCCCCTATGCTCCAATCTTAGGCCCCTGTGGGTAACGGACAACTGGGTGAACAGTCTGAGCTGGGGAGGTTCCTCTGGCTCACCATTCTCAGAAATGATATTCAGGCATTTTTGGCAGGGTGGATGAAGATGGGCACACTTACCGTATTTGACCTGGGCAATGTCCCCCACCACCAGTGCTGCCACTGGGACCTGGAGGAGCTGCCCATTTCGGATGACAGTAAACTTCTGCTCCTGCTCAATACGACTCTGAAGACCTCGGAACTGCTTTTCCTTGCTCCAGTCATTGAAGGCCGTGACCAGCACGACACAGATGACAGACAGTAGGATGGCAGCCCCCTCGATCCAGCCAGCTTCAGCCTCTCCCTCATCCTCTGCCCCACCAGACACATTGCCACAGGCTGTGTCCAAGGATGAAGGAGAACATAAAGGAAGGAGACATGAAATCATGGGAGCCAAGAGCTGGGACCCCTCCTTCTAGCCCAGAGCCTCACCCCTCACCTTCACTTTCCTCTCCTGGTGGTGCATAGAAGGAGAGGCCAAGAGAGACGATGGCAGCCACCTCCAAGATGATGAGAGTCACATCCTGCAGGGCTTCCCACACCAGCTGCAGGAAGGTCTTGGGCTGCTTGGGGGGGATGAAGTTCTGCCCATAGATCTGCCTGCGTTTCTCCAAGTCATTGGTGTTGTCTGCCAGGCCTACACAGCATCACAGGAAAGTGGCAGAAGCACAAAAGAAGGTGGCACAGGATAACCCTTGGTACCATAAGTATCCCTGACTAAGCTGCTGTTGCTGCTGCAAGAGTGCTCCTTGCGGCTCTCTGACTAAAGCCTGCCTCTTTGGAACTCTGGAGTGGATGCTTACAGAAGGTAGAGTTGTACAGGCCTGGTACCATAAGCCTTTATGCAGACCCAGTACTAAGCATAGGGGATCAAGCACAGCCCTTACACGGAGTACCCAGTCTGAGAAAGGAATTGTAGCCCGGGAAAGGGGGTTATCATTTTCCTGATGTACTTATAAGACAACAGTCCTAGGGAAGGAGGCCTTGGAACTGAGGATGTCTCAATTGCTGAAACACTAGCCCACACCATGTACCTTCCATGTTTGTTGTTACTTTCATTCTAAGCTATCTTTGAGGGATGCTTGCTGGGAAGTGATAACACCAGACACAGGAAAGGGCATCAAGGACCCAGGAGGACACTGTGTGGCCAAGTGTAGCTGAGACAGGAGCAGAACAGAGCACCCAATGGCTCCCTGGGTTGAGGGTGGGTAGGGAGTTGAACCAATATCTAAGTGACTTCAGTACATTTGTGGAAAGGTTACCAATCAAGGGGATACAGGTAATATTAGCCCAGTTTCACCCAAGTGACAAATAATTGGCCAGGGCCTTCACCAAAGTGATCAGACAAGCTGTCTGTCTCCTAACACCTAGATTCCATGTTTCTCTCAGAGTTCTGGTCACTAGGCCCCACACAGGCCTGAAAGATGTGACTGTGTTCAAGTTACTGGTACCTTGAAAGTGAGGCAGCCTCTGGACCTTGGCCACCTCACCCTATGGCTTACTTTATCCAAAGAGATGCAGGGCTACCCAGCCTAACCCACACAAGGGGCAAGGTACAGGAGAACCAGGGACTAGGGATATGGATGTGTCCAGAAGCATAGTTGTTGCGGAAGACAGAGCAATGTCTTCTGGACATGGATGGAGGCCTACTTTCTAGAAGTTTCCTGGGGAAGGACTAGAGAGAATAAGTGTGAGAGCAAGTTCTTATGTCCAGAGACCTACATAAGGAGACTGTCTTATGAAGAGAAGCGGGGGAGGGGGGACTGCTCAGGAAGGTGGAAGTATGGGAAATAAAGGAAGAAGCAAAGACAGACGTCTGTGGCATCTCACAGCTAAATGTAGACTGGGAACTGATCCTCTAGGTTGTGCAGGGAGGCTATCCTACAGTGACGAAGGAGGAACTCTGTTTACCATCTCCAAAGGAGGCTGCTGAGGCTGGAGTTTAAAAGGACCAGCACCAAGAAAGGACAACAGAGTTCCACAGAGGCTGAGCTACCATGACACAGAGTTGAAGAGAGGATGACCCAAGGTCTGGTGCCCATAGTGCCCAGGAAGTGCCCAGACAAATGGCCCCCTTTACCTAACACCTTCTTAGAGATTGGTTTTGGGGCCAAACATAAGCTCTGGGCTGGGGACTGCATGAACATGGTGGCCTCCACCCAGAACTACCCTGCAAAATTCAGTGGCCAGCCTCTTGAGGAGCTCCATGGTCTGCTTTGGTCTCACAGTGACTCCTCATTCAATTCTGTCACTTGTCATCTCTGAGGATGAGATATAGGGATGTCTAAGGCTAAGGAGACTGCCAGTGGTTCATGCAGAGACCGAGGAGAGGAAATGAAAGGGAAGGAAGTTCTAGTATAGGCCCTCTCACTACTAACATGAGACCCTTCAATCTGTGCAGAGTCCAGGGGCAGAGAAGGTCTTAACTCGTGGCTCCAGGGCCCTGGAGGTAACCTCCATATAGATCTCAGGCAAGTGAGAAATTGCCACACCTTTGTCCTTGACTGGCAAACTTGTCTGCAGGCTGATTCTCCCCAGGTTCACCCAGGACTCCAGTGCTATACCCCAAAGGGACCAGCTCCATGCTGACACCTAGTGGATGGATGGCAGCTTGAAGCTCGCACCAGAATCATTGGCATGTCTTTTACCACCTGCTGAAGGAGCTGAGTGGTGAGCAAAAGGGCCATCCAGTCCATGGAGCATGCACAGCAGGCTGGGTTTAGGAGGGCTCATAAGACCAAGCCTCAGATTGTTCACCAATAAGGAAGTGCTGACAGTGGGCCTTCTGCAGAGAACCAGGGTGGAGCTTGAATGAAGTGGAAGGAGTGACAACAGCTAAAGTTGCAACCAGCATAGCCTTGGCATGTCCACACCATCTAGCCACATGGTGTCCTTCCCACCCAGAATGGATGCAGCTGTCCCTGCCTTTCTCTCCCTGGCCTCATTGAGCCTGGGCTGGGCTGGCAGCTCATATTTCTGCTGTGGCCAAAGACCTCTTTCTGAAGGCTCACAGCTTTCCCAGTAGGATGTCTGGGAGACCTCAACCTCTGTGGTAGCAGTGGTGGGGGTAGGAATCAAGCTGAGAAGGCCCAGCCTTTTTTCCAGATTGAGCCTTTTCTCCTTCAGCTGCAGGAGCTATGACAGATGCAACATTTCAAGGGATGGGTTAGAGCTCCTAGACACTCGGAGTCCATATTGCCCTTGGCCTGGAGCCCCCAGAGAGGGGAAGTGACCCATTCTAGCTTCTAGAAAGCCTGAGTTCCATGGCACCATGTGATTCTGCTTCCTGACTATCCCACTTCACATGCCCAGATTGTTCCCAGGGTCAGTGAGGCCCTTAGTCCCTTTTCCCCAGGAGCACACTCCTTTCTCCTCCTCTGCCTTGTCCTTGGCCTTGGATCATCCTTGCTACTGCAGTAATGCTCCCCCATCCCCTTTCCCTGAAACTGGCAGTTGCCTTCAGATTGACCCTGAAGCTGTGGCCTTTCTGTAGGGTTGGGAGTCCCAACAGCTGCTACGATTGCCATGGTACCATTGTGTGTGTGTGTGTGTGTGTGTGTGTGTGTGTGTGTGTGTGTGTGTGTGTGTGTGTGTGTGTGTGTGTGTGTGTGTGTGTGTGTGTGTGTGTGTGTGTGTGTGTGTCTGTTAAAGAAGGCAGCCGTGGCCCCTCTGGTTCTAAGCATATCTAACCTAGCAGGTCCAAGACATGGGGACAGAGGCTGGGTGGTTGTCATGGACACAGATGGGCTGTTTGCCCAGAGCAGAGGCCAGATGCCATCAGAATTGGATTAGGATCACATTGTGTTGGCTCCCAGCTAATCTGCCTCCTTCTTCTTTTGGCTGCCCGTGGAGAGCAGACAAGATGGGTAGGGTGCAGAGCCCCCTAACCAGCCTACCCCAAGGTTTCTCACCAGCAGGTAGGACCTTCTTCAGGATGGGTTCTGGAATCCTTCTGAATCTCTAAAGAGGCCGAGAGATTAGTGAATTGGTACAATAACTGCCAAACTCCTACCCACCAACATACCACATACCTACCTGGCCCCCTTGTCCTCTGTCAATCCCTTGTGGATACAGTTAAGTCTGCCCCTTCCACTAAGAATGCCTAATGAGGAGCCTGCCTGCTCAAGGGAGTAAATGGGGAGTGAAAATCACTTGCTCCTGGCCCCAGACAGTTGGGCCTTAGGAGCTTAGGGGGAAGGGCTGGTCCCTGGGCTGCCATAGGGACCTAGGGTCTCAAGGGTATGTCAGGGGTTGAGCCACTCACCTGGGCACTTGCCTTTCTCCATGCCCACCCCATTTACAGGAACCAGATGAGCTTTGAAGCTCCATGGCAGAATCGGGCAGGTTCCCAGGGGCCTTGACATTTTTAATATTTAACAAGGCCTGACAGGCACAGGGAAGAACTGCCAGCCGAAGCCCATCTGCTTCCTTTGATCTGGGAGAGGCAAGAGCCCTTGTGGCTAAATGGCCCTCTACTCCAGCCTTCTCAGAGGCCCCAAGTCCTCAGGGGGGGGGGTGGTGGATGGACAAGGAGGAGGACGGAAAGAGATCCTTTGGCATGAAGCCCAGCCATCTGCCCTGACAGAATGCTGCTTCAGGCTGGTTATGTGTGTGTGGTAGGCAGGGTGAATAGGCTATCCATGGGTTCAACATTTCTATAGCTCAGTTCAGGAAGATCCAGATGACCCAGGGAGGCCACCATACCTGAAGTTCTTAACCTGGCCCATGGGCCTACCTTCTCCTATCTCTAATGCTCCCTTGGGCCCATGCACCACTTACAATGGACAGATGATGCTTTCTTCAACCCACTTGGGGCAAGGCTAGAGTATGAGCATCTGGTGTGTACCCTGGAGTCTCTGAATGGGGGCAAGGGCAGAACAAGGAGGCTTGAGGTGATGAACATAAGTGTTGCAACCAAAAGACTGATTTAGAAAGAAGAATGGGCAAGACCTGGTGATGAGTGAGATGGGGAACCAGGATCAGGAGGAACCCGGGTGGTGGCCAGGACTTGCAGGACTGAGTGGGCCAAAATGCCACCACTGAGATGGGTGACTGATAAAATCAATTATCACTGCTGGGAAGTAGGCCTGTCATCAGGTTGGGATAGCTCCAGCAATCCTACCAGGCCAGTGTCAGATGAGCCAGAAAAGGTTCCAGCTCTTGAAATCTGGGGATAGATTTGGATCTTTGGTGATCTGGTCTCACAGCTGACCCCAGCATCAGGGAGTTGAGGACCCAAGATGATACTCAGACCTCCACTTTAGATCTTCTAGAGGATTCTCACCATGTTTCTTCTCCAGAGGCTGACTTGCACTGCCTCAAGCTTTATCTGTGGCTTTTGTCACTTATTTTGTGTGTGTGTGTGTGTGTGTGTGTGTGTGTGTGTGTGTGCATATGTTCATGACCAAATGTCAATGTCATGCATCTTTCTCAGTTGGTCTCCACCTAATTGTTTGTGACAGAGTCTTTCACTGAAATTAGAGTTCACTGATTGGCTAGACTGGATGATATACAAGCCCCATGGATTCTCCTATCTCTGCTTCCTTGGTGCTGTGATTACAGAAACATACTTCATGATCAGCTTTTTACATGGGTGCTGAAACCCCAAATGCATGCCCTCATGTTTGCACAGCAAGTACTTCACCTACTGAACAACCACCTCAGTCCCAATCACTGCCACTGCTAATGGTACAATGTGACTTTGGCTCCTACTTTTTGTCTGCTGTTCCTACAAGACTCAAATTTCTCTGTGCATCCTTATGTGACCCCTCCCTTCCTATAGAGAGGACTCCCACACACTGCACTGCCCCCTTTTCTTCTGATGCTTCCTAACTGAGCCCAGGTTTATGCACATGAAGTCCAAATATGTAGCCAGAGACCATGGTTTCCTCCTCCTTTGGTAGGAGACATTTGACACTGCTCTGTTTCTTGAAAAGAAGTCCAGGGTTTCCATTTAGACCTTCCAACTTTAGTGGTTCTCTTCTGCCCTTCCTTCTCTTTTCCTCTTGTGTGGTGGAAAGTGATCACAGAGGTGTGGAGGAGTGCTCAACTCACAACCTCAGAATTTAGTTGCTCAGAGAATGACAATTTCCACCTGCACAAGGTACCATTTAGTCAAGACCAAGTGACTGAGCAGAGGGTAACAATTAGAATCTCTGTTTCTGTGTCCTCCAAGGTCAACTGGGCCTTACCTTCACAGAGCCATTCAAGGCAGTTATAGTAGCAGCATCATGGGTAAGGCAGACCCTGAGTTCCTAGGATATCCCTTTCCCTGCCCAACCTGATGGACTTACCCTCAGTAGGCGAGGTCTTCAGCCTCCTGCACAGCCCACTGACGTCTCCATAGGCTTCCTGAATCTTCTGCAGTGCCTCGGCACCTCGGAGCTCCATGAGGCTGCGTAGCTCTGCTAGTGTGCACCCGAAGCCACCTACATGGGGCACTTCCCGCTGTTGCTGGGGCTTGGGGTGGAACTC